GCTTTCTTTTTCCACTTTCTTCCGGTTTACACACACTCTGCCACATACAGCCATACGTCCATAAGTGGCGTTTAATTTATCAATTTGTCGTTTGCCAAAGGAATTCATTATTTGATTGTTGTTCTCTTCTTTTTTTTTTTGGTTGCTTCCGGTTTTTTCTCTTTGATGCGGCTTGTTTACTATTGTCTGGGCTTAATCTTTTGTTTATTTGCCATCAACGTCATCGTTCGTGCCGTCTGATGGTGTCGCTTTCTCGTTTCATCGGAAGTTCAATCGGTAGCAATGAACAATTTCTTTTTTTTGCATTCTTTTTACTCCTTTCGGTACATCATTTTAGTCTTTCGGTAATTGGAGTCAAATTGTTTTTTGCAATGGAATGAGTACTGATTGGGGGATTTGAGTCTTGGGAGAGCTTAAAGAAATGATGATCCGGGAGGATTAATCAAGAACTACCCATATAACATCCAAGTTAATATAAATAGACTAATATATAAACATTTTGTAATCATCAAACTTCCCATCTATTTTGTTAAGAATTTGTAAAGTTTGGTACTGTAAAGTTATGTTGTGTTTTGGAAAAATAAATTTTTAAAGTATATAAAACAATGTAATCTTAATTTAAAAAGTGCATGGAATTCAGATATCAATACTTATTTTATTTCCTTTTACTTAGAAAAAATATCAAATTGTGGAAAAAAAAGTTATTTGGATATTTTAAGGTAGGTTTGCTTTAATAAAAAAAGAAAACTTTTTGTGCCCTTGTATCATCATTTAAAAATCGTAGTAAATGGAATGAGAAATGTCTTCCCAAAGAATCTCAAAAATTAAAAGAGAAAATTAAACAACTCTCCCCAATCAAGCTCCTTTCAATCCCTGCCATAAACGCAGCACTTATTAAAATCCAACAAGTAATTAAAACGCAAGTCTCGAGGCTAGCCAAAATAAGTAATTGCCACCGTGTTCGACAACTCATCAGCAAACAGGAAAATTGTCCAAGACTAGTCGCAAAAAATGACAAAACGGGTAGCAAGGAAAACTCCAACCGAATTGACAAATTAAAAGCAAGTGAAAATTTTTCCAAAAACCCTGAATAAAGAACAAGAGTGCTTTGAAAAGGAAACAAGCTGGGAGCCCAGTGGACAATTAAGCAAAAGGGGGATTGACAATTAGAAGGAAAAAGGGGTCGGCCGTTGGTGGAAAACGCAAGGGCTAAAGAATCGACAAGTTTCGGGCGCGCAATTATGATTATGGGTGCGTTTGTCCACTCCCTCACCAAAATCCTACTTTAATTGTTTTTTTCTCTCCTCTCTCTCTTATTTTTCCTTTTGTGCCAGGGATGCTGCCCAGTTGCCTGGACGGAAATTCATTAGAGCAGCCCTCGGGGAGCGGTGCAGGGGTAACTGGTCCCTGGCCATGTCAAAGCGACTCCAAGACGTTGTCTTGGCTTTTTTCCTCAGCGAAAATTGCAATTTTTCCAGGACCAGACATCGATGGGGTTGGGACGATTGTCCCTGCCCGGGAAACAACTCCCTTCGCCGGTTCGTTGGGTGTGGCTGGGTGCAAAAAAGGGCTTCGCATCCTGCTTACGATATAAAAAAAGGAAAGGGAATAAGGACCGCTAGACGACGGGCAGGCGAGCAAACATAAAAATGCGTTTTTGCCTTCAGAAGTCCCTTTTCGAAAGGCGGCTAGGGCTTGGGTTTGGCTGGGTGGCGACTTGGATGGGCACCTAAACAGAAAGTAATCAACCCACACACACACACACACACACAGCCGTAGAGATATACCCACACACACAGACACACTGGGAAAGGACGAGAAACGCGTCTCCACCTCCTTCACTCATTTGCACAAAACACACCCACAACTTTGGTCCGAGCTGGAGAAACTTTTTTTCGCTTTCGCCGCTCCAACATTTCTGTTTCCTCCGCGTCGTGGGGCGGATGGGGGCGTGGCATTGTTCTTGTGCCGCCATGAAAATTAATGAAGAAGTGCCCGACCCATGTTCAGTGGCACTAAAACTCCGTTCTCCGCCCATCGACCGACTGACAGACAGTCGCTCCGGTCCCCAGTTTTGAGGTTGGGGTCTGGGACTTGCGAGTTGGGAGCTGGGACCCGGGGTTACAGTTGGGTGGGTGTTTGGGTGTGGATACGTAGCCAAGGCTGCCTCTTGGGGGTGCGTGCCCATTGCTGCTGGCTTGCAATTTTTTCACGGTCCCCTAACACTAAAGTGGGATTTACATAAATTCTGGACTTCTGTGCGGGTCTTAATGGTTTATGGCCTATACAAAATATATAAAATCGGAATGCCCTTAAGTCTACATAAGTTCGAATAGGTGGGATAAATTTGTACTCACATTATAACACTGTAAAATGTCGAATTTGGCAAATTTAGCATACAAATGCTTAAACAACAAGGAAAAGCGGGTAACAAGAATTAGTTCTCGTAGGTTCTGCTTATTTCAAGAAAATTTAAATTTAAAATAAATGTAAAAGGTATAACAAAATTAAAAAAAAATCATAGCATAGGTGTTTGTCTATTTCGTATTGTATTAAAACAATATTAAACAAAAAAAACTTGATTTTAACTAAGAATCAACATTTTAAAAGTCGTGTTATTACCTGTATTTCAAGGATTAGTTCAATTTATCAAAAAAATAGAATAGATAGATGAAAACGTTTCTGAAAATTACACAGCCACTCGAAGCTAACTGGATTTCCACAACATCAAGCGAAAAACTGTTCAAAAAAATGCCCCGCATCCAATGACAATATCTGCAATGAATCGGGTAAAAAATCAGCCCACAAAAACCGGAGAAAAAGCGATTTGGACAAACTCATGGAGCATTGGGCAAGCCAAACCCTTTGGGTGGTGGAACTGGAGGATTTGTGGATAGCAGTACGATGGTCAGTGTGAGGGACCCAAACTGACTCACCCAACTGGGAAAGGGAACGAGGAGGGGAACGGGGACGAGAACGAGGACGAGGACTCGAAGGACACATACACACCCTGCGCCCACATATGTACGGTCAAGTGGGTGTTGACCTGTCCACATTTAGAGGGGCACGGACTCGTTTTTACCATTTTCTTTTTTTTCGGTGGAGGGATGAAGTCCACCGACTACGGCCACTGTCGCTAGATGGCGCCAGGCGGGACTCCGAACAGGAGCCGAGGCAGCAACAGGACATGGACGAGGACGACGCCTTTGCTTTTAGCTTGATTGCCAAGCCTAGTTAACTGTAAAGTTTTATAACTTTGGCCGGCCACCCAATCACCGCCCCTTACAAACACAAACACAAACACAGACACCTTCGCCTCGCTTGGCCTCACCTGTAAAGCGTTAAAATCGGTTGGTTTATAGCACGCGCCAACGCAGTCCTCCCTTCTCGCTCACCCTCTAAGCCCGGTCCGACCGACCGGGCTCTAACCCCCCACCCCCTTCATCACTGACAGCAACGACGTTCGTTCGACCCTTTTAAAAAGTCGTCAATACTTGCCTGGCCAGCCCCCCCGGCCGTGGAAAAGGACGAAAGGGTTTGGTTTGGGCAGGGGATACGTGCAACGGCCTCTGCGCTCGGCAAGGACTCCAGCAAGGATGAGGAGCAGCCACGGGGCCACGAACCTGGGACCCGGGATCCGGGATCCGGGACCAGAACAAGGACCAGAGGACCGGGCGTCTATCAAATTCCAATTTCGGTCCCTTTTTTTTTCCTCCGCTCCGTTGGCATTCAAGGTTTATGGCGTCTTTTTAGCGTAAATCCTGCATGGCCATGACTGAAGTCCGGTCCTGCTGTTGCACCCTTCAGCGACCATTTGCTGGACCGTGGCCCCACACCGAGTCCGACTAATGCCGTCCTATCGGTGGAGCTACATCTTCAGTATCCTATCACAGCCACCCCCAACCACACTCTAACTTCCATCGAATTTCGCAAAGCCACTGGGTTCACTTTTTCTTCCATGTCACAGTAACGTCTGTCTTTGTATCACTTAAATGAGACCATTTTAAAAAGATTTTTTTTTCACTGTTTTTCAGTTTACTGATGAGTTGGCAAGGATTAAAAGTTGTCATGTTTGGAAATATTAATATAAATAAATGATTTGCTACACGGTATGTATTCAAAATGGGAAGAATTTTTGATATAGAAATATTACAATAATTAAACTTGGCTTTAAATAATATTCTTTCTATTGCATAAAGTAACTTTAATGTGTTATCAATAAAACCCAAATGTACTATTATTTCCAGACAAAGAAATTATATGAAATATAATTTATTCGCATATCCGTGTTATACATTTCAAGAACAAGTTTACGGAAGTGCAAATAGCTATATTCTTAATCACCAAGGCTGTTTTGAAAACTGCGTTATTTGCTCACGGCTATCTATAGAATGTGATTGTAGGCTGTCAAATCAATAAATATAAAGCATCATATTTTCAATTTAATCGACGATAATGAGAAATTTGCATGGCCGGGTATAACCTAGAAGTTTTATTATGACTTTTGTAAAAATGAATACCCTATTCAACATCTAAGCATGGGTCTATAACAGTTTGTAAAATGAGAGAGTATATATTCGCAGTGCGTTAGAGGCTAATGAGTATTTCAAAGTCGAAAGCGAGCTGACTAGTTTTTGTTCTGCAAAAAACCGGTCTTTTCAGTTCACGAATTGCACACATATATATGTGTAAAAAATGCACATGTTCTTATTAGTTAAGTTTTTGTACGATTTTGTAAATTTTATGTTTGAAAAATTTAAATTAATATTTAAAGTGGTTTTCTATTTAAACCTTTTTTATTCTTGCAGGGTAAGAAAACAGACTTCTCTTTTATTGATTCATAATATATTTCCCATTCTGTGGGGAAAAAAACCCACTGAACTCTGAAAACCCAGCTATAAACGTGACTCTCAAAGTATAATGCTTTTTGTAAAGCTAAGCGTGAACAGATTGCGATCGGAAATTGTTCGCTATGCTCGCGGAATAAAGCTCAGTTTGAACGAGACAATCAGTGCGGTTGCAAGTGCCGCGCTAAGATTAATAATGAATAAGCCTAATCTACTGATCGTTTGCGCGACCTTGGCGCTTCTCCATTTGGAGGTAGGTCATGTTATTTCCCATCCTGACATAATTAACTTAACATTTGGTTTGTCTAGATAGGAGCAGCAAGAGCAACTGGAAATGGATTCAACCCAGCTTTGTACACTGAGGCGCGGAGATTCGGCTTGGATGAAGGAATTCTAAATGAAATGTGGCGAACCAAGAAGCCGTGGGTTAACACAAAGCGAAGTATTGATGGTACAGTCACTAAGGAGACAATTTGGTTCAGTCCAAATGGAGAAAAACTGCATTGGAAAACCGATACAAAACTCCCGGTAATCAATAATCCGGTACTTACACAAATTCAAGATAATTTAAACATTTTATCAAATAATATACGCAACCAGCTGCAAACGACATTCGGACTTCACAGTATTTATAATAATCCTTTCGTCAATCCGGTTGGCTTTGGTTTCCCCGACTTTAACATATTTAATAACTTAAACGGAAACGGACAAAATAATCAGTTCGAGGTGCGAGAACTCGACTCAATACCTTGTTATTGCCAACAATCTGGTACACCAAATGAACGCAGCCCGGGATATATTCCAAACCGAGAAGAGCCCAGAATAAAGGACCGCAATCACGGATATATTCCCTCCCGAGAAGAGCCCAGGATGGGTGACCACAACCCGGGATATATGCCCCGCCGAGAATCCGATGATCGGCAATCGTTCGGTGGTGCCCCACGAGTTGACTCCAATACAAATGACCGAAATCCAATAAGGCCCGACGATGATAATATATGGTTGCCGTCGTTTACAACTACAACGCAGCGAACCTTTATTCCAGTGCCCGCGAATGCACCTGCAACTCCAGCCTTTCAATTTGACTCCCAGGCAAATAATTCCGACGAACCTTTATGGGTGCCAGTACCAGATCCTACCACAACCCAGCGATCTTTGGTTCCTCTGCCCACATTGGCACCCAAAGACGGCGGAGCGGACACATCCATCGATGACTACTTGGCTAAGGTGGACATCACTGCCGCTGACATCGCGGACGAGGATGGGATGCTGGTCAGGACGATCGTGGATGAGAAAGGGCGAGTTCTAAACGCCAGTTTCTCTTTAAAAACTGAGGAAGGACGTAACGTTAATTCGAACTAGCAAGGTCCTACCATCAACAGAAATATGTTTGTCCCAATTTTAAATGTTAACCACATATGGTGATATATGTCGATATCTGTTTTTCAATAACAAAGCTTTCGCTTAATAAACAAGTACTGTGTACATGACTCTACTTGCATAGGTTACTCGGGGTTAAAAGCTCTGTCCAGTTATTTTCTTGTTATTATTTTGACGATGAACTGACTGACTGAGTCGCTTATTCAGAATAGGGTATGTGAATTGATATACAAGAAACTTGAAAATCATTTCCTCAACTATAGCGAAATTCTACAATTAACCAAAGAGAAAAAATTAAGAATTTTTTTTCGTATTTTGAATTTGTTGAAGCCGACCAAACATACGAAAGTCATTATCAGCCAGATGCCAGAAAGTTAATAAGAAGTTCAGTCTGCTACTTAAAATTAAATCGCCTTTACTTAAAGGTATTAAAAAGTATTATTTTGTGGTAATGAAATATAAAAAAAAGCAGTTAAACAAACATGATAACCTGCTAGGCCCCAAGATAACGTTGAAATGTTTGATGGAATCTGGGAAATTCCAAAGTATATTTGTGCTCTTGATAAGGATGATTGAGCTGAGAAAAAACGCGATAACCCTTGAGAATCAATTGCATATAGGATAGGGATCAGTTGGCAAGCTCAGTCGATTAACGTTATCAAGCTCAGTTCGATTCGGCCAATCGAAGTGTTCACAAGTTTCGCGGAAAGATCAAGAATGAAGAACGGTAATCTGGTGGCACTCTGTGCCAGCTTGCTGCTCCTACAACTGGAGGTAGGTCATGGAATTCCCCAGCAATCTTGTACTGATATAATCGTTTACCATAGTTGGGAGCAACGTCGGCAACTAACGATAGACCCAGTGAAAATCTTTACGCCACGGCCCGGGAAATCGGACTGGATGACGTGGGTTTGGAGGAACTGTGGCGCACCAAGCAGCCGCTGCTTATCAGAAATCGGAATGATGCTGGTCAGCTGACTTTATTGACCTACGAACTAAGTCCGGATCGCACTTGGATTAGAAGGACCAAGGTCACGGAGGACCCAGTGCCAGTTCCAGCCAGGCTGGAGGATAATTCCCGCTCTAAGCCCCAAGAAGACTGGGAGTATGTGCCCAATTCCGTTCGCCAGCAACGTCCAGCAACATCGACTCAAGAGTCTAGTTTTGGGACAGGTGATTTCAACACTATCTTTAGCAATGGTTTTCCCCGGAGTCCACTATTTACCAATTGGGAGCTGCCAGCCGGAGTGACTCCGCGAGTCACAACCAAAACGGAAGTGGATAGTTTGGGACGAAAGGTGACGACCACAACCAGAACCGCAAGTTATGGCGGCACTCTGGCCCCAGGAAGTACTGCCTTCCAACGGCTATTTCCCGATATATCGAGGGAACCTGGCCCAATTAATCCGTCCGTGGGAACCGCTCCCTCAACTGGATCGATCGATTCCCGCTCCGGATTTTTCCCCCGCCCCAACGAACGTAACCCCGTCTTTGTGCCAGTAGTTGATTCCCCCACCACACAGCGCACTTTGGTGCCCCTGCCCTCGCTGACCTTTTCGAATGCCAATGGAGCTAACGACGAGATCGAGAATTTCTTGGGAAAGGTTGACATCAGTACCTCGGACATCGAAAACGGGAATGGACAAGTGGTCAAGACAATCCGGGATAAGAATGGGCGAGTTCTGACTGCCAGATTCTCAGTGAGCAACGTCAAGGGACCAGAAGAAAAGTAAATGGTCATTTTGAGAGCTAATTTCAAATAACTTGTTGTGCTAAACAATATAATATGTTGTAAACAATGCTTAGAAAAAAACGAAGTTCAATAAATAAGCTTATCAGCTGGGGCTAAGCCCCGAGATTATTACTTAAGGTCAGAGTCAATATTGTGGCGGATTATTACCAATGTATATACAATTGATAAGGGTGTTTTGTGCGAAATATAGTTGTTTTTACAATATAAAGCTTACAGTTAATTAGCTTACCTGTCAACGGCTTCTTTTCTATAAAAATATAAGCAACTACAAAGCGTTCTAAATAATCAAAAAACTACTCGCATATTTACAATTTGCAGATTAAATATTCTTTATTTTCAGATCGTTGGCCAAATTAATTAAAAAAGCATTTATAGTTTTGTATAGCTAATTTATTACAAACAAATTTTTTTTTGTATTTTCGCTAACAACTGAGCTGTAAAAAAATTAAAAGAAAGGAAAAATATAATTGCAATAGTAAAAAATCAACAAAATAATATTAAAATAATAACATTAGTGCACTAAGCATGGTTAACAATATAATTTTAGCAAAAGGAAAAAATAAATTGCAGCCAAAAGTAATTCAAGCATTAAGAGATCAAAATTATAAAAAACACAAAGGGAAGCGGAACGAGAAATTCAATTGGAATTTCGCGGCAAAACAATTAAAATACGTAGAAAAAACTATTGCATAATTTTGTGCGCAGCTCATGGCAAAACGCATTTGGTGGCCGAAAGCTATGGATGATTTGTTTTTGGTGGCAGTTGTTCGTTTGGCCCATGATTTGGTGGTAGTTGTTCGGCCGACAAAAGTGTATTTCTCTCATTGCCTTTCTCGCTCGTTAGCATTGCATTAGTTGGGTTACATTTATAAGCCAAGCATGTCAGAGAAAAGAGAAACTAGATTAGTAAAAAATGGTTGTTTGATCAAGTGTCTGAAAATCGTAATAAAAGCGTTTTTCCTTAAGTCTAAATACGAGAAGCAAAAAATGTTTGCACTTCGGCGTGGCAGCATCAACTTGTACTAATTAAAAAGCATTGCCATTCCTTAGGCGGTATATTGAAATTCAATTGCGCATAAAATATGTTACAAAAAGCATTAATATTTGAATATTTGAACAGTTTCGGTGTATCCTTTGTTTGATTCCGTTAATAAACAACGATTTCATAATGAATGTATGCATATAAATATGTTTGATTTTTTACAACTTATGAGAGATTGTAACAAAGGTTTTAAATCGCCAAAGGCTCTTTAATGTAATATAAAATATGTATAGAGCGTAATAAAAAATACTGCTTGGTTATCAAGCTTCATATCGAGTGAAAGAATTCAATAAATTGCGTTGTAGTTTTGTCTAAAATGGACGAATAATATATATTTGAGATCGGATAGTTCCTTGGCTAATTAAAACATTTCCTGCCACTTAATATGCACGGAAACTATAATCAGTTCTCAAATTGCCCCTTAACTCTAAAGTGAGTACTTGAAGTCCTTACTCACCAGGTTGTCAAACCGCAAGGCGTCCTCATCGCTGAGTCCCATGCTGCGGGTCAATTGCAAGTAAGTCGAGGTGATGGGCTTCAATCGCTCCAAGTCCAATGGCGGCAGAGGGAGGGACAGCTCCACCGGAGGCAGTCCTCGCAACTGGGGAATCCTGAGCTCCGGCAGTGGTCTCGGTGGACTAGGCAGCTCCAGCTTGAGCGGCACCGGGGTCGATGTGGAAGCCGGATGTCCGGTTTTCAAGCTGCAAAATATAGATTTCGTTAGATTAATCGGTGTGAGGACATTATCCTTGGCGGCGGCAGGCTTGGCCGTCGAAGCCTCCGGCGAGCGTGCCCGCATCGAGCTGTCCGGCGAGGACTTGATCGCCGGCGGATCCCTGGGAGGGGCCAGCATCTTGCCGGGGGCTGAGGGGGTTGCGACAGGGGTTGCTGGACTGGCGGTCGAGGTGGTGGTTGGATAACTGAGGCTCTGCAACAGGCTGCTGCCGTAGAGGGGCGGCGCTAGGACCGGTTCGCCGGCATAGAACCGCCTCATGAAGTCATAGTACCGCAGGAGATTATCCCGCGACTTCAGCAGCTGTACATCAAAGCATTGGGGATTGGGTTGGGATTGGGAATGAGTCACTGATTGGGATTGGGTATTCGTATTCGGGTTGGCTGGGGACTGATCCATCGGACTCGTCGGACGTTGCAACTGTGGGTTGACCCGGATTTTGGGCACGCTGACCGGCGTGGTTTCAACGGCCGCCTGTACCGCCTTCGGTGGCTTGGGACTCGGTGGCGGTCCTGTTCCCAGGACATCCAGCTGAGTGGCACTGGAGCTGCTGGCCGCGGCTGCCCCACCCACAGCAATGCCCAAACCACTGCCAACCACCGGCAACGAGGCCTTGAGGTCCGCACTCGAGTGCCGGCGGCGCTTGGCCGTGGGCCCCGCCTCCAGCGAGCTCTCCGTGTGCGATGAATAATTGAGGTAGGTCTCCACTTCCGAGGAGCTCTCATTGCCAGCCAACTCGGAGTCCTTTCCGCCCGCCGTTGGCGAGGAGGGACGCAGGTTCTTCTTGCACTCGGGACAGATGGTCAGGAAGCGGGTGACCGCCTCGCGGGGCAGAAACGCATAGGTTTCGGTGATCTGAGTTGGGAAGAATAGAAAATAATTACGGATATATTAAGTTAAGCGATATATAAAATAAATATATGATACAAATATATGTCTAAATTTAAGTCTTGTCAATTTATAAACAATTTCTTTATCATCATTTGAATCTTTTGATTAGATAAAATTTGGAAAAATCATTGAAATGTAGCAACAACATTTTTAAATACCCATTTAGTTAAGTGTTTTGAAATCATAAGTTTAATAGGCGTTGGAATCCTTGTGGTTCCAATAAACATTTAAAGCTAACACTTTAATTACTAAAAATAAACTTTCTTTGGGAAATGTTTTTAAGCATCACTTAACACTTAAAAGTAAATGTAAAATCGAATGCATCGCAAAATAATTTGTAAATGAAATAAAATGATCTTAGCTAAGCAGAATAAGAATGAATTAAGTAGAACGTATTCTACAGTAAAATACCAAGCGTTTATGTCGCAAAAATAAAAATGTACAGACAAACAAGTATATATTGTTACTTTAAATTCTGAATCATTATGAACAGTAAAACTAAAATTAGCTAGTAAGTAAAAAACGCAATCTTTATAATCTTAATACACTACACTCACAATGCGGTAGGTGCGCTTCTGACCCGCGTGCATGCCACTGCGTCCGCCCAGCTCCATGTGCACGTTGTAGATGATGTCGAAGAACTCCTCCACACAGGCCACCTTGCGGTAAGTCCGGCGACCGAACCCCTTGCTGGTGGATGCGGCATAGAGGTCCACATCGCCGGGATTATCGGACAGAATGGCTGAGCTGGGCAGTGGCTTCATGCGGCGTCGGCTGCCGGGAGCCTCTTCAAAACCATCGGGCCGATTGGTGGTAAAGCCTTTGGGAGAAATTCGATGAAAGTCAGTGACTCCGATCAGAGACTCCTTCCTTGCCACACTCACCCTTTGTCTTGACCCAGAAGCGAAACTTGGAGCTATCGGGGCGACTGTGCTCCTTGCCCTCCAGCGCCTTTAGAATTCGCGCCTTCTTGCGCAGCGTTATCGTCTTGGTCTTGGCCTGATCGCCGTATGTGCTGAGGGCCCAGGGCTGGAACAGCTCGTAGATGATCTCACGCTCACCTGCCGGCTGCTCCAGCTCGTCCACGTCCGCATCGTAGGCCAGATCAGGCTCCGCCTTGCCCACAGTCACCGGCGAGCTCTCCTCGCGCTCCTCGATGGCATAGAGCTTCCTTTTGCTGCTCCTGCACTCCGCCGAGGAGCCCACCGCCGAGCACTGTGGACGAGGTGCCTCAGACTGGTCTGTACTTAACTTGCGACTACCATTGGAGTGCTCCATGATGCGAACGCTCGGCCAACTCAATCACACACTTTTCAATTGACTTAAAAACTCGCAAAATCAATGCCAAGTCCAGACGATAAGCGATAGCATTGGGTTGGGGTTAAATTTTTGTGAAATTAGAATTTCAGCTGTTTTTTAATTCTTCGTTTGGTGGGATTTCACGAGATGTCCTAAAAAATGGTAACGTAGAAATAATTGATTAAATACTTTCTTGTGAGATGCGAGTCTTTCACAACCGAATTTATTATAAATGATTGATTTTTCCAATGCACTCGGTATAAATCACCAACATATTATTTTTTCAAAGTTAGCCATAGCTTAATTACTTAAGAATAATGAACCTCAAGAATTTTATGAAAACCTTTGGGCTTGGAGTATTTAATTCAATTGCACTAGATCTTAAATGTAGATATTTTTGGAACATACTTTTGATGGTCAATGGGTAAAATCGACTTTAACAATATCTCCAACACAATTTTTTTATAACGATTATTTAACGAAAAGTTAACAAAAACAATGTTATTTTTAACAATATCCAAAATTAACAGAAATCCCACAAAAACGAAAAACAAGCGCCCAGATCTTTTCGGCTCAACAAATAACCAAGGCCAGAAAAGAAATGAAACAACAGCGAACGCGACGCGACCGAATGAAAGTTCAAACACAACTGACTGGCCAACTGATCAACGTCCCGCCGAGAAGATCTCGAGGAGATGCGGATGCTTGTCCATCTCAGAGGAAGGTCTTGAGGTCCAGTCGAAGACAGGCTGGTCCAGATACAAACCGGTTGACCGGGCATCTTTGAACTTTGAACTGCATCCCCGAGGGCCAGACAAGCGGAGGGGCCAGCCCTCGAAACGAGCTTCTCACAAGCTAGAGTATCTCGCAGATACCGATAGGTGCCTACCTCAATAAGTTGCGCAACTGCTGGCCAGCAAATCCTGGCCCAACTCCTTGTTGCCGAGCTGAACCAACCCGAAGATGTGGCAGAACTCACCCCTAACCCGAGTCTGTGGTGTTTTGCATTTTTTGCAAGCACACTTTTAGGCGGTTGTGGAGCTCGTTTTTCTACCGCCACAAAAGACGATGATGACGTTTAGAGGTCGGCATTTCCACCCACCGCCCACATTCACCCTCCCACTCCCACTTCCACTCCCACACGGCCGCCTGTTGCGCTTCTTTTCGCCTTGAAGTGTACATTGTTTTGTTTGTTTTGCGCTGAGCTTGCCAACGAAGCGTCAAAAGTTGCGCCACTTAATAACAACGTATTTATGATGCGGTAAAATAATGCTATTCCGAAAAAGAACAGAAATAAACAAGTTTCTGAACGGGGAGACTAAAGAAAAATGTGAAATAGTCGCGCCTAAAAGCTTACTTCATAAATTTACAAATCTTATTCGGTAATGGGATGGTCCTTATGAGGTGGTTACTTTTTCTTAAGGGTGTTTTCTTATTGTTCCGATTTTCTTTTGATTACAATTGTTTTTTTGTGTGCCCAAATTTATCTTGTCTTTCCATTGGCTGGCACTATCCCAGAACCGGCTTTATCTGTGTGGCTGCTATATTGATGTGACTTCTGTCTGCATCTCAGCATCTGAGTCCTTGGGTTCAGCTTAATTACTAGACCCGGCCAGAAATGATGTTGAAAGTGCCGAAAACTGGTTGATCTGGGGCAGCCTGCTTTTATTATTATGCAGACTGCCGGATTTTGTAACGAACTTCTAGAAATTCGAAGAGTGTTTGAGAACTGGAACTATTGATAAAGTACCTTAGTCACAATAATATTATTTTAAAAAAAAACACGCATTGATTAAATATCTATTCTGACAAAATATGGACCATAATTGGGAAATTTTGTTGATGTAATTGAAAATAGTTGTAACCTTATTGATGATTAACATTTGTTGTTAATTGTCATTTAAATGACATCGATTTAATACTTTTTGAAGTGAGAAAGACTTGCAATGAAAATATAATATTGATTTGGACAGATAAAAATACGAAAGATATAGTATGTAACGATTTTATTTGAAAATATTATTTTGGTTATTAGAACTTGCTTCTGCCAATAAATTGAAGATTATGATAATAATATGTAATACAACTTAATTAATAGCGCCAAATAAAGTACATACTGCAATCGTGCAAAAGATTAAAGTGTATTTTTTCAACGAAATCTTTTTTTTACCATTTAAATCACTTTCATTTTTACCGGAAAATAAGTAACCGAAAATAAATTCTTTATTTTCGACTGCAGAGCTAATGAAAACAGGTATTTTCCAGCTATCGACAAGTGAGGGGTTGAAGAGCAGATGCTCATTAGTGGCCGTGGTCTCATCGCCTATGCATTGAAATTGGCAGTCACTTGTGAAAAAATCAATGCATGTCTGAGTAATCGATGCGCCTAATGGAATATCTAAGCTAATAAGGTGGAGCACGTCATCCACCAGGAGCCAGATGAAGTTAAATGGAGACTCCATTCGAGGACAATTACCGAAGCAACTTATAGACAAACAATGGATGGCTTTTGCCCATTTGGTGAGCTAATGTTTGGTTGGCTGGCTGGGACGGCTGCTTGGCATTTGGTTAGCAATTAGCCAACTGACCAAATCCAAATAGCATGAGTAAATAGGCTCGCCGGCTAAGTAGTTGATCCAAAAGGAGCGACTGGTTTCAGGCAGCCAGGCGGGTCAGCATCTGCGGCAGGACATTGGATGCAAACAAGTTTCGCTCCGGCAAGGAAACTTTCTCACGCTCGATCCCCCGGTCCAGCATCAGCATCCGCATCTGTGCCAGGACATGGAACTTTTATTAAAAATTCCCTCCTTCGTTTTTGCTGAACTTTCACATCAAAATTTCAACGGATTCGTACCCAGAACCAGGCCAGTTTTCCAAACTGGACAACAGCATCAACTGCCGCTGAACTTTGACACGCATCCCGGCCAAGATGAGCATCAACATCAACATCAGGATCAACCCTTCCCATTCCCAGTGCAACCAGTTTGCCGCTGGTCACTCCTCAGCCTCCGCTGGTCACTTGGTCTTCGACTGACCGGGGTGGGTTTACACCAGCCGATCCTTTCAGTTGATGCTGATGTTTGCCGATGATTTGGCCCGCATGACTCTTTTTTCCTGCTTTTCGGCAAAGATAATGTCCAGTTTTGGTCACTTCTTTGTCTGCTCCCGAACTCCTTGCCATTTGCGCCTGTATTGCAGTGATCTTGACGCCGATGCTGTGCCAAAGGACACCAATAAAAAGTCCACACATCTTGCCACCATGGGAGTTTCTATTTTTGATGGGAAGGGATAAAGAGCAATGCTTAAGCTCAAACCTGTTCCATTTTCAATGGCCTGTTACCGTGCACGATTTTTCGGCTATTTCTACAGGATTTCTTATACCAGAAAGAATAATGTAAAAAGTGATCTTACTTGAAATAAGTAAGCTTCGATCGATTTGATTTCAAGTGGCATTATCATTATTGGACTTTGTAATTCAATGATATATCAAAAATTGTTCGCAATCATATTTTGGAAAAATAAAATATGGTCCGATCGTTTCTTTAACAGTTATTTGACACTTTTCCGATCTAGAATATTAAGACATAAATATGAACTGCAATAGAATTTTACTTATTGTGAAAAAACCTTTTAAAATTGAAGGAAAAAACAGACAAACATTTAAAAATAGTCTAAGATAAGGTATATCTTTTTCACCGCAAACATCTTACCCCAAGTATATATATATTTATAGAAGAGTTCAGGATGATTTACTCGTATTTTAAACCTTGGCCCTACAAATTCTGAAAAGCACGAATTTTTATTCAATTAACAAAAATCAATATTGATAATAATGGCTTGTTTGGCAAACTATTAAATTGTTGCTGCAAATTCTAGAGATTTAAAAAGAGGATACAACGGCAACGAGTGGGAATATAATTCCTTTGGTGAAGTCCAATGCAAACAAGAGTTGGGGATATGGTTGGGAGTGCAGCTGGAAAAACTGATTCGTTGTCGGCTTCGACAGGCAGATAATGAGGCTTCATGAGGGGCGAAGGGATGGCGCAATTTTACGCACAAAAAAAGAGTTGACGATGGCATGTGGGTGGTGTTGGTTTTGGGGTGTGTTTTCGGGGGGGTCGTGATAATGCCGCTGCTGGGGGTGTAAGCTTAACAACGCAACATAAATTAACGCATATTTCAGTTGCAATTTAAAAAGCGCACAAAGCGAACGGAACCTGCAGTTGGCTGCGCTGCCAGCGTTTCAATTATTTGTTGTTGCTCTGGCTATTGTTGTTGCTGGTGTAGTTGTTGCTATCATTAACATTGCTGTTGTTGTCAAAAGTGCCAGGGCAGCGCATTATTTCAGTTTCAGCCGCTGCCGCCGCCGATGCACGCACAAAAAACGAATAAAACCGACAACGCCCCAAATGCAGCAAAAAATGCAGCCCCCCAAAAACCCCTGTAAGGATGCAGCGATGCGCCTAAAAGTATGCAACGCATTCGCCGCCCATCTGTCTGCCCTCCCCCTCCATACACACACACACAGGTACACACACGTACACCAACACACACACACACACAATTATGCACACTGCACATTCGCGATTCTGTATATTATTTACCTCTTGTTCGTTTTTTCCCCGGACAGCGGCGGCAGCGCGTTTTTTACAAGTTTTATTGCATGCGTGCGCGAATGAAAAATAAAATATATAAAAATATATAACGGTACCGCTCCAACACGTCGACGCCACCATTGGCCTCGGTGGCCGTTGAACGCTCAAAAAATGAACAAAAAGCAAGAGAGATGCCCAAATGCGAAAGCGCGTGCAAGCAAACGGGCCAGCAATGTCCATGTCGATGTCCATGTCCATGTCCTGGCTGCCCAGGATCAGGGTACATAGGTGCACTGATTGCCTCCATCGAATGCTGGGCTCCAAAGGATCTGTGGAATGAGTGGGGAAGGGGAAGGGCGGGGAGGGGGCTGCAGCTGCGACGGCGACGGCAGCGGTGACCATAAAAAACCCCAGGACAGACGCTGGGGCCAATGGTGCGTATGTGTGACGTCGGCAAATGTTGGGCGACAACAACAACGACGACAACAGTAACAACAATAACAACAGTGGGAGAGGAAAAATAAATTAAAAATGGTTGGAGCCGCTGTTGCTGCATTTTCCACTCGCATTGTCGTTTCTTTTTTTTTTTTTTAAGCTCTGCGCAAATATATTGAAAATATTTCCCATTTTTATGCCTACATTTATTATTTTATTTCGTTTTTTGTTTCGCTTTTTCACTGTTTGTTCACCTAAAAGCGCACAACATTTTTTAATTGGGTTAGTAATTGAAATTTATCGAGAGGCTTCCACGCACTGCGAACACCACTAGGGAGTCCAATCGAATATACAAAGCCAAATGAATTCTAACGCGTTTTGGTCAGCTACAAAAAAATACATTTCTTTTATAATAACTGAAAGAAACAAGAAAAATTTACGCAAAGCCAGAAAAAAATATCTTTTGTTTCCAACAATGAATAGTAGATATTTTTTTAACGAAAAGATTTTCACTGGCTTTGGTATTAAGGAACTTATTTATAAAGAATTCAAATTTTTTCCTATACATTTAATATTATTTTAAAAAAAGGTTCCTAAGTCA